TCTGTTAGGTAATAAGCTTATACGAGCATCAAACAACCTTTTCGTCTTTTCTAATACGTATTAATATTGTACTCATACAATTCTAATTATAAAGTAAACATATTTTGCTATACATTGTTCACTTTTTGCTTTTACCTACGTCGTATTTTATAGACGTAAAAATTTGCATTTTATTACTATTATAAAAAAAATCTATATATAGTCACCTAATAATGCAATATTTAGCTTTAAAATGTATGAAAACACTGGTCACATACTATTTAGATATTTCAAGGCAATATTAAATTTCATTTTAAATGTAAACATTACAAGTTTTTAATGGCTTGCAACGGAAATTTAGTTTGCCTTTATACTTACAACCGTAAATTATTTAGCCTCGCTATTATAATCTATTAGTATACCTTTGAGGTTGGTAAATCTATTAAAATATCATTATAAAGTTGACACTAAAGTCGCGTAGGTAGGTCTTGTATAATGCGATATCTCCCTAGCTCCCTTAGGACCTACCTTCTACCTTCTTCTGTGTTAGAGTTACCAACCGTCCTGTTTTCCCAGGACATGTCCCATTATTTGAAGTATCCTGGTTAGTCCTGAATAGTTATTTGGCAGCGTCCTGGGTTTTTATAATATACGCGCTTCTTAATTACTAATTTTCAACAGTATAATTTTATCAAATGATTTTTATTAAAAATCTGATTATATTAATTACTTGAATTTTTCTACATATTAATATAACTATTGCAACACTATAACTGAGTTTTGTTTTAAACTGGATAGTCCTGTTGTTTTTAACTTTCAGTCCTGGTTTTTTAAATTTGGGCTTGGCAACCCTATTCTATATAAATGTAAAATATATCGTCATTGCGTTTAGTTAACAGGGTATGCTAGTTTGCAGTTACTTGTTACCTTCCAGGCGTTATGCACCGTATGTCTATTGAAAAGGTTCTCCCTGTCAGTCGCCATTGTTTTACTATCTGTAGTAGGGTGACCGACTAGCCACATTCATTTCGGAAAGGTAGTGTGGGAAAGATGGCGCTGCTGACTCCCAAACGTCACACATTGGAGCCTCCGATCAACTTTCATAAGATTGCCGAGGATAACAATCATTTTATTTTATAAATTAACCAAGGAAAGAATAACATAGTAATCTACAGGAATATACTGTAATACAATGTATGCTATACAATGTCTACTCATACACAATATAATAAAGAGAATAAAAATCCAACAAAAGCTGTGAAAATAAACCATAATAATTAAAATAACTTAGGGAATTTATCACAGCGCTATATAGTTTGTGACTACATGGCGCATTAAGCATAGTTTGTATTACGGATACCAAATAACTGACAGAAATACTTATATACATTGTTTTTGCAAATACAAGTAAATACATAATGCAGTAACGACTTTTTCTCTCAGCTTTGTAGAAATAAAGCAAATATGACATAAATAGACTTCCAGATAAAGTCGAAATAATTGACGCGAGAGATGAAAACATAGTAAGTTCATTAAAATCCTGTATATTGTTATATATTTATAATAAAAATGTTTATATTAAAAAATAAATTTTATTCGAAATAAAATATTAACAGAATTGTGTACTGAGTGATGCTGAGTTATGGACGTGAAGACGTTTAATTTCCGTACCTACATTATAATTTTGCGTAGAATTTTATATATACAAATGTATAGAGTTTTTTAACCCAGGCTTTGCCCAGGTGCTTATAACTTTGTGAGTTTTGTGTATATTATTACAATAACTCTGAAAGACAATGAAATTATTTGTTAAATCAATGCGGTGGTTTCGGAGTTTACTTTGGTTATAACAAGATACACTCTCTCTCCCTTTATAATATATCTAAATATATATAACTCAAATGTAACTGACTGACTGAGATAGTGATCTATCAACGCACAGCCCAAACCACTGGACGAATCGGGCTGAAATTTGGCATGCAGGTAGATGTTATGACATAGGCATCCGCTAAGAAAGGATTTTGATAAATTCCACCCCTAAGAGGATAAATTATCGCGAGCGAAACCGCGGGCAAGAACTAGTACTAGTACATATATAAACTATAACAATAAACTGTAACTTATTAGAGCATATCGAATTTACACGGAAAGTTTTTGGCATGGGATTATTATAATACAATAGTAATAAAAAGAATTTAATAAACTTGGGAATAGATACCCCAGTGGTGTAAAGCAATAACGAAAACGGGTTCAGAGGAAACGAAAAACGATTAATCTAGTTATTTTTCTCAGTTGTACCAGGACCTTCTGAACTGTTATAAAACAATTGTTTTAATTTATAAATTTGTATTACACTTTAACATCACTTTTTACGTTTTCTCAGAAGGTTCCCAATTCGATTCCGGGCAGAGACATACTTGGAGAGAGAGAGAATTGTGGGGGATTAGTGGTCTCATTGTTAGCAATTTACATACTAAGTCGATCTCTAAACGCTCCCTCCACACATGCTGCGGTTAATTCATGATGATTCTCGATGACGTGCAATCCTAACTAACTTGACTTCATACTCATCAGTTACTGGTGTCTTGCTAGCGTATACCGTTAGCGCCGGCAGGTGAGGCACCATACCTTTGTTACCATACAAAAATATTAGACGTAATGGGTACGTCTAATATTTTTGACTAAATAATATTGGCCTTTCTAGAAATTCTTTCTTGCAATTGGAAGAAACTATTCTCTACAATACAAACTCGGCTCGTTTAGATACCAAATATAAATTCTCTGCAATGTGCATCTTCCTATTTAATCAGAAGAATAAATTAGTAGTATAAAGAATAAGTGTCAATAAAAATATGATTACTATTAGTCGTATTTTAATGTCTATCAAAGAGAGTAAAATTATATTAAATAAATAAAAGTAACGTCATTAACTAAATTTAGATCATAAATTTCAGATACTTAAATAATTAATAGTTATGATGTGATATATGTATATCTCCAATAAATACAAAATGGCGACTACTACTTGGTGTTCAAGGAATGTACGGGTATAACGAGGCATATAGAAGTTTCGACTTAGTTGTGAGTTTGAAGTAGTTCAACATTGAATTGATACTAGTTTTTTATCATAAAAATATCTGGGAGTAAAATAAGTATTTATTGCTTAGTAAGCTTTTTATGTACATATATTATATATTTTTGATGACGATCTCTTTTTTATCAATTCTTTAAACTATTTTCAATAGATTTTAAGGAAAGAACATAAATTTTGTGAAAGTCAAGTACAAGTGTCTCAATTACGACTACAAATTGTCTTAATTGACAATTTGTAGTTTGTGATCTTTCAAACGCATAAAGTCCAAGTTCTCGACTGAACTGGACGGTGGGGTATATATTTTATTGTTATATGTGGCACAGTTAGCTATATTTATTATAGATATGTTATTATTTAAATTATGATATTTCTTTTTTTGTAATGTCTTTCTTATAAATTATTGTATTCACTGATATTACATTTTAATTCATTTCAAAAGATAACATGTTTTTTTGTTATTGTTAATATTCAAAATTTAAAATATATTTATTCATGTAGGTCTATTACAGACTCTTATGATATGTCAAATCTACCGTCAGTTCGGAATGATTTCGAGATGAGAAGAACTGATTAGAAACTTAGCTCGTTTTTTTTTAATGTATATTGTTACATTAATACAGCTTCATTTAAATTCAAATTTGGGAGAATAGAGTGACCACTAGCATATGCTATTGAGAAAGAAAAACAAAACAAACTTATTGTCATTTAAATAACGAAATACTATATGCAGTTCAGTCTCGATATAGTAATGGATAGTCCAACTATCATTATTATTTATTAGACAAACCGTTTATTTTATTAGTAAAGTACAAACAACAATTCGAGACAGCTCTCCTATATTGTCCGGTTTGCAATTGGTATGAATAATTACTCCAATGCAGCTGCAACTTGCTTCTAAACTACAAGTTTGACGTCTGTATACATTTTACGATAGTTTTCAAAGTGAAGTAGTATTATTTCATTGTTGGAGCAGAAAGCTCTCATATAACTAGTCGACAGTTTAACTTACGATAGAAGTAGATTATATCAAATATTACAAATTAGCGTCTGGAGAATTAATATTCGGACTAGTGTAATTAATGTAACTAGATACTATATACTACGTATAATATATAGCCCATGTTACTTGTAAATACCTACTATAGTTTTCTATTAATAAAATCAATATTAAATATTTTAAAAAAAATCAGTCAGGCATTGAAAATCATTTTTTACTCGTTTTTGTACCCGTAACAGTTTATATATGAGATTGTATTTCATTGTATAATCTATCGCTAGATTCTATTATAGTAGTTTTCTAGTATTTTTTTATTATATTAGAGACAGAAACGAAACCGAATACTAAGCTTTAGGTCTACAAATTCTATGTACTTACCATTTAAGTAACTTAAGTAATTACCATCTTGCAGACAGTACTACATGTTGCGCAGTGGTACTAACTCCAGATTTTAACTGAAATTGAGTATTTTCCCCTGGGCAAAAACCACACTGAGATAGGCCACAGACTTATATGTACTGTAGCATGCAGTATCAGTATTTAACATACGAATAATGTATAATAGTTACAGTGTACACATGTTTATATAGACGACCTCGGTGATCTAGCGGTTTAGACACACTGCCTTACTTCCTACGGTCGTGGGTTCGATTCCTCGCACGGCAAAAACATTTGTATTCATGAGTATGATTGTTTGTATCGGTCTCGGTTCGGTATTTTCTATGTATAATACACACACAACGGCCTAGATGAGAGGCCAATTGCGGAAAATGGAGTCCAAGTTCCATATATGTATTTATGAAAAAAAACTATGTATTTGTATCAGTTATCTAGTACCACAACACAAGCTTTAGCTAGCTTAACTATGTTGTAGATGGCGCTGTGTGAATTGCCCTGAGATAATTATTATTATATCGTTACTACACTTACCTATAACGTCGAGTACAATCTTGTGATTTCTCGTTGGAGATACTTTGAAGTCAACCCTGCATCGATACAGAGCTCTATCTGTCGCGAGGACATCGCGGATGCGTAGTGATGATGATGATGAATGTGAGTTCGAAGGGTTCCATCTCGCACGACCGGCGAGAACGTCGTCTGCCCAGTGCGCTGATGGGCCTTTGACTCGCCCATCATAACTGAAATAGATTAAATTCAATTAGTCAAGGTAAACATTTTGTACATACTTGCCATAGTAATAGATATATTAATACTTTTTTAAGGGATGATAATGGAATTGTGCACTTGCCTGCGCTAACAGTATAAGCTAGCGGGTATAAACTAATGGAGAATAATAAGATGAGTATGAGGTCAGATTAGTAGCCTATCTTGGCAAATTCGCCCGGAAATTAAATTTGGTTTCCAGGAGGAACCGTGTGAAGGTCAACCTGGCATGGTACATTGCTAGCTAGCTTGGGGCTATTAATCCACATTACTAACAATACCCTTCCCTATCGAGATTCCTAAACTACTCATTACTGTTGTAAGAAATTTGCAACTTTATTCTTAATTTATTATTTAGAAATATATATTTTTATTGCTATATATAAACTAATATAATAGCAATAAAAATATTAGTTCATACGGATGTAGTCAACGAAAAATATGATACATTAGAATCCTTTTGCAACCTGTTTCGATTAAAATAAAACTAAGTAAGTCATATTAATTTAGCGATTGATTTAAAATTAAGTAACTAACTAAGAATATCACGTTTACCTCAATCCTAAAATCTTTACTCGTCAAACCAAAATGTCATGACATTTAAGAAAATTCTTGGCTTTCCCACCCCCATTTGATTTTATAATACGATTTGTTTCGGTAACAAACGGGTATTATTTATAATCCTTCTTACCATTCACCGCAGTCCTATCAACAATGCGTTTGCGGCATAACCGACATTATATGACCACAGGTTGGTTCACAAAGTACATTTCATTTTATGCTATTAATTCATTTGTAATATAAGCTTTTGCAGTAAATGGAATTATTTATAATTGTATTGTTTAGTCGATTTATATGTTTTACATTTACACATTTTTTTTATATGGATGATATTGGAAACGTTCACGTCCGTCTTCGCTAACGGTATACACTGGTGGGAAGAGAGATTGCAAGTAATCCACCATGTCAGGTTGACCTCTACGCGGTTCCCTCTGGAAACCATCGTGATAAATTGCTGGTGAACTTGTCACCATGGGCTAACAATATACCTAACTAACCTGACCTCATATTCATCTTATCATCTTCCACTGGTATCCCGCAAGTGTAAACCATTAGCGCAGGCGGGTGCACAATTTCATTATCATCCATAAAAAACAGTATACACTGGTGGGGCACCACAGGAGTATGTGCATGAGGTTACGTCAAATAGCCTAACGTGCCAAATCACTAGAAATTTATCACGATGGTTTCCAGGGAGAAGCGTGTTTAGATCAACATGACGAGGTATATTGTTAGCAAGAAGGACATTAGTCTACATTATTATATTATACTTCCCCCTAATTGTAAATGGAAAATTTACACGTTACTATTATTAAGGAGCTCCTAATATTTCTATACTGTTACAGATAGTTCAGGGTCGACCCGTTTGTATAAAATTTACAATTGTAAAGAGCCGTGAGAGAAGTTTGTAACAATGTTTTTCATTTTTGTTCGTTTTCTTTATATGAAAATATTTTTTTATGTAATAATACCTATTTTTATACTAGCTAGTCCTATGCTATCCTATACTAGCTAACCACATATCGATTGTTGGTCAGCTGCCAATTTAGTGTAAACATGTGAATGATTGCAGCGTCAGCTTGCTATTATCTTTTCACGCCTCCCTTAAATTCCCTTCGATAAACATCGCCTGAAAGTTTATATATGATTCAAAATATTAATAATTTAATATAAACTTTCAGGCACTACATGGCATTCATAAAAGAACTTTAGCCTCTAATGCAGATATTTTTTTAACATTATATTTTTCCACTACCGTCCTGTTCAGAGTTATATATTAACAACATATTCTGTGAAAATTTTATCCGATTTAAGTGAAACCTTAATACACATATAGACAAACAAACAAAGAGATCACAGTCTCCACATTTTTTATATATATATATAAAATTCTTATTAGACTAGAATTTTATATATAAAAATTTTTTATATATAAAATGCTAGTCTCTAAATTTACACACATATAGTGTGTAAATTTAGAGACTAGAATTTTCCTTCTTCCTATACAGACATCACTATTGTCGGAAACGTTAAAATGTGTGAAACTGTTTTTTTTTCATGGGAATTGAAGCATTTAATAGCGTGACTTCCTTCCATAAATAATACAAAGTAGGCACCTAATAATCACACAGTAAAAGTCGTTTATATATGAATGTATTCGATACAAATGGTCCCGTACAGTAGACACGTGTAGGTTTTTTATATACTTCTCCATTACAATTGAGTTATAAATATTTATAATAAAAAATTATAAGTATATAAAAAAAACTTTTGTAACACAATTGTTTACTAATATTATAACCGTGAAAGTTTGTGAATATGGACGGATAAATAGATGAATAAATGTTTTTTACTCTCCCACGCAAAAGCTGAACGGGTTTTGATAAAACTTCACAGTAGCATGTCATATACATCGGAATAACAAACGTCTTTTTACATGCCATTCATGGTGCAACCGGGTGCACAGATAGTATGTTTATATTTTATTGACTGCCGAATTAGTCATCCATTTTTTATATTTTATATCAACTTGCTTCATCTATCTTACAAGTGGTGACTTGTAAGATAAAATAATGCTTGAGGGCTCCCAAGGAAGTCATAACCGACATTAAATATAGCAAAGTTTGTACATTATGCCCGCGGAATTCTAAAAAATAAGCAATTACTCAGGAACATTAGCACAACATTTCAAAGTCGTTGACATCGTTTTTGTACTTAAGTATAATTATTTTGTGCCCCACTGTACCATTTGTTTCCTTCAAAGCTCCCTTAAACATGGGTTAGGTTACGGTTATTGTTCAATTTTGAATTTTATTACTATTACAATAAAAACTATTCTTCCAATCGTGAGGAGACTAGATATTTTAGAATAATTGGCTTGTATTTTATTATATTATATTATAATATCTTAGTATTATTATAAACGTGAAAGTTTGTTACCCTTTCACGCAAGAACTAGTATAGGATTTTAATTAAACTATACAATAATATAGCTAATATATCAGAATAACATGTACATAGACTATAAACTTCACGCCGGTGAAACCGCCGGCAGAGCTAGTTTCAAACAAATAAAACTAACTAAATAAAATAAAACTAACTAAATAAATATTAAAAGCTCTAATTAACATATATTATTTTGACCAATTCAAACATTAAATAAATTGTAACATTATGTAAATTCGTTCGTTTTTATGTTATGGAATGATTTTCTCTGTCTATCATATAGCTAGCTCCCTCACCATCAAATATTTTAACATCTTTTACCTTCAGACTGTAGTTTTATTTAGTATACTTTGACAACGTTTGGTGTTTGGTGGAGTTTTCCTGGAAAATGAAACGAAATGTTGAAGGTTAAGCTCCGTTACCCAGATGTTACTAATGTTCAATAATGTTTTTATTGTTTGATATTTTCTCAGGTCGATCTGTGGTTATGTAAAAAAATATACAATAGTAATACCTAAGTAAGCTAAGTAACCATATTAATTGAATTACAAGGAATCTTTTATTTTATATTTATACATATAAAAAAAATTAAGAGTCTGTTTGTAATTTAAACTAACAGCTTTTCACCAAATTCATATAAATACTTACTTAAAAACCATAATTCTCACTATTTGTTCCTGCTCATGTAATGTTATAAGTAGTAACTTAGGCCACGTTTAGATTTTATAAATTATATTTATTTTAATTACTATAAATAATCTGCCGTTTAAAAAAAAGAAATTGTTGTTTTCAACAACAACATTTTCTTTTTTTTTTACATTTTCTTTCAACAGTTGAGTTTCATGCCAAGTTCTCAATTGAATCTCTACACTAAACCGGACGGTAGGGAAAAATATTAATAATAATAAATAAAAAAGTTCTTTCTAAATAAAAGATTTTTGATTTTGAGATTCGATTAATTAAAAAAACTTGAATTCTAAGCGGACGAAGACTCGGGTAACAACTAATTTATAATGTAAAATAATGTGTATGTTTATATTTAACAAGTTTGTTTCTATATAAGTTGATATATATGGTATTGGTTGAACTATTAAACAAATAATTGTTATACTTTACCAAATAACATAAGACAGATATATTTTACCTACTAACAATATTATCGTATACGAAATATCCAACTTCCTTCAACCCGTTCTTAGCAGAAACCGAACATCATCAATCACCTTCGACAGAGCTCAAGGTGTATAGAAAATGTTGTGTTGTATTCGTCATAATCCGTCATAAAGACGTGAGGACGGTATTTGGAAGAGAAAATTCTATGCATACAGCAACTATTATGTAAGTATATAGTAGAAATTCCTGAACAATGTAAGGTACAATGAATTCTTCATACTATAATAAAATTCAATAGAATTTATAACGAAAGCGGTTCTCAACTGAAGAATATTTTAACACAATAGAACAGAAATAATATTAAAATAAACTAAATAAATATAAGTACTTTTGTTCATTGTTCAAGAATAGTCAGATGCACAAGAAATTGCATGTTCTTATTTTATACAAATGTAGTACCAGTCTACATTATACATACCAGACATACATTATACATACATATGTAGTACCAGTCTACATTATACGTACCAGTCTACATTATACATAGTATTTAATAAAAATATATCGAATTAGCTGTGCTCGCGACTTCGTCTTCGTTATCCATACAAACTTTGAATGATATATTTATGTATATTCAATCTTCAGCCTAAATTAAAAGTTTCAAGCATGTAACTTTAAAAATGATGATACTTCCATACAACTTTTCATCTCCCTTTCAACCCCTTACAATTGTTTCCTCGCTATATCATTTCTCAGGACCTAAACTATCTGTGTATCAAATTTAATTTAAATTGTTTTGGTGTGAAAGTGCGACAGACAGACATAATAGTACTTTTGTATATGTAATATTAGTAAG